GGGAGTAGGTGTAAAAACAGATGATCCCGGGGGAAGGGCCCCCACTCGGTGTGGTCCCCAGGAGGAGGGTGCATTCCGGGCACGGGGAACTGTGGCAGGGCTGTGTGTCCTAGGACTGTGAACAGTGACTTGGTGTGGACAGGTGAGGTGGCTGGGTCTAGAGGGGCCCCGGGGCCGGTTGGCCCTTTGCAATAGGCTCCCTCCAAGACAGGTGTGAGGAGCAGCAGAGATGTGGGGGTAGGGAGAAGGTTCCAGCCTGTCCTCTGAAAGCAGAATGGATGCGGCAGCACCGGGCCGAGTCTTTGAATCGCAAAGACCGAGAAAACTTGGTGGCTTCGAAGACTCAGGTGGGAATAAAGAGGGGCAGGATTAGTTTTAGCAAGACGGCACTGGGTGAGGCCCCTTCTACCAGGGATCTCAGAGCAGGGAGAGGGAACAGGCCCCAAAATATAACATGGAGCTTGTCCTTATCATCAGGGTGACTCTATAATATTCTAAACTGAGACGTGTAAAAAAGGGTGCTATGAAGTATTATCCTACGACAACATATAACTAAGGTCCCGGTACTTATGAAGGACCTCTGGCCTGGAGGGGGTTCCCACTGCGTGGGTGCACACAGAGCCTCAAGGTGCTATGGGTACACCGGGACAGCCTGCAGCCTTGGAGGTGGGGACGTGTGAGCCAAGCGGGGCTTCCTTCTCAGGGAACCAGAGGGATCCCACCAACACATGTGCGCAGGGTCCCGGCTCATCGCCCTCCCGGGTGGCAGAGGTGACCATCAGCTCAGGACAGGGCAGATCAGGAAATCCAGAAAGACAGACGGAGGCATGACAGGTGGCTGAGGCTGCTGGCCTCCGGGGTGACAGGTGACAACATGCTGGGGTGGAGGGTGGAGGGCAGAACTTACCCGTGCACGCCGTGGACAGAGTGGGGCTCATAATGGTACCTTCCCTCCTGGTGTCTCATGTCAATCGGTAAGGGAGCATGAAACGGTGGCAAAAGGTGTTGTGGCACTGTGGAGTGGGAGAGAGAAACAGGCCTTCAAAAACTTTTCCCCTCCCTCAAACAGCAATTTTCAAAGGGCTTTAAAGCTCAATGAATTTCAGAGCAAGAGTAGCCAGGACAGGGGGCTCCGCGGTGCCCTGGCTATCACACACCCACGGAGGGGGATGAATAAATAATCAAAGTCAGCCCGAGAATCCTACATCTTTCACATAAAAGATCCCCAACCGCGCTCTTGACAAAGACAAGCAGCTAAGCGCTCTTTGAACTCGGGGAGATTAAGGCTCAGCCACAAATCAGGGCTGACAGAGCCGACGGGCTGCTGCCCATCTCGGCCTCGGCTGCGTGTGGCTCCGGCAGCCCCGGGTGACGGCATCCGGATGCTGCAGTCACCCTGGCTGGAAATGTTTACCTAGAACCATCTGTGAAGCCGGGGCCCCGCTCCCGGCTGCGGCCAGCCTCAGGAAGGCGCAATCCCACCGAGCCGCCTCCCCCGTCCTGCTGGCGGCAAAGAGTGGACACCTACGTGGGCCTGTTAATTCTCCAGCTCTTCGTATTAATTACTGACCCCAAGTGAGCTGGTGGGTGCCTCCAAGACGCAAACACCAACACGTGAACATCGCTTCCAGGGTTGTGTCTGCACTTGGCCTGCCCTCAACAAATCATCATGATAATTGTAGGATGCTCTTTGCTTACTTAAAAAAAAAAAAAAAAAAAATTCCTGGGTACCCTGGAGGCAAACATAATTATAGGCTTTAGGAAAACAAGCCTCTTTAAAAAGTAGGTAGACCGGGAAAAGGGCTAAGAAGGGGAGATTTCTCAGTCAGTTCTTAGGCTGAAGGCCATGGGCCAGTGGGAGTGTTGAGTCTGGATCGCTGAATCTATGCAAGAAATGGGGACGGGTTTGTTTTATACGCGTACAAGCCAGCTGACTGCCCAGCCCACGGTAATGAATATATATGCATAACTCTGCTAACAGTTTCTGGGCAAATGCATTCTGGTACTGTACTATAAGCACTATGAGTTCTCTTTTCGTGGCGGTCAAGCATATGTAACGTAATATTTACCCTTTGACCCATTTTTACGTGTCCAGCTCAGTGGCGTTCATACATTCAAATTGCTGGATGCCCACCATCCATTTCCAGAACATTTCCATCTTCCCCAGCGGAGACCCTGTTCCCATTAAAGACTAACTCACCATTCTTCCTCCCCGCCAGCCCCTGGCAGCCATCTTCTCCTTCCTGTCTCTATGATCTGACTACTCCACATGCCTCATAGGAGTAGAAGGAATCCTACAGCATGTGTCCTTTTCTGTCTGGCTTAGGTCACTTAGTATAATGTCCTCAAGGTTCCTCTGGTGTAGCAGGTGTCAGGATTTCCTTTTTCAGGGCTGAATGCTATTCCATCGCATGGATGTACCCCATGTGGTTGTCATTCATTTGTTGATGGATGTTGGGTTGAACACCATGAATTCTTTTCTTTAAGATTTTCTTTTAATTTTTAAGTAATCTCTACACCCAATGTTGGGGCTCGAACTCACAACTGTGAGATCAAGAGTCGTGTGCTCTACCGCCTAAGCCAGCCAGGCACCCCACGAACACCATGGATTCCTAAAAGAAAACTTCTCTCCTGAAATTTTAACCTGAATTTTTACATAATCAAATTTATCCTCATCATCCCCCAATCCTGACACCTTTCATGGGGACTGGGAACAAAGAAAGCAAATCTTCTCACCCTGATGAAATCAATTTGCCAAACACAGACTCCACAAATCTTGGCCTCAGAGGGGACATGGCCATCAGACAGGACACCAGACGTGGGGTCCCATCCCTCTGGGTCGGGCCCTCACTTCCGGGGCTGGAGATTGCTGGAGCGACCATGCTGTTCCCTTAGGCCAGTCCATGTCCCCTGAGAGGTGAGGCTGGACCCCGGGTGTGACGCTGGTGGCAGTAACAGGATGCCAGAGCCCCTGGGAGTCAGAGATCCAGAGCACAAACCTGGGGCTCACCAGCTGCGTGATATCAAGCAAGCTTCTCTCCTTCTCTGAGTCACCATTTGTTCATCTGAGAATGGGTAACAGTAACCTCCTTTATGGTTGCTATGAACATAAAATGTTCCTGCAGGGGCAGTGCTTAGCCCTGTGCCTGTGCATACAGGAAACACTCCATAAATGATACTACTGCCGATGACAATTCTCACTAACATTTGGAGCCCCGCAGTCCCTGATCCGCTATGAACACACTATTTTACTAGCTGTGGAGCGTCGGACAAGTTGCTCAGAGCTCCCCGCAAACCTGGGGAGGGCGGAGGGGTCAGTGCCGGCCTGCTTACAGACTGGGAGATGAGACGGCCTTCCCTGAACCCCCAGGGACCCGAAACACGGAAGCCGTGTTCGCTTCCCCGGATGTTCAGGAAAGGGCCTTTTGCTTTTTGTAAGTTTCTTTATTTTAAATGTGGCCAGGCAGACCAGAGTACAGTATTGGTAATAAAATAAAAGTACTTTGCTCCTGTGTGTTTCTGAGTGTTTCCCTGCATACCCAAAAGCCCCCTGAGGCAGCCAGGATAGGCTGATATGCCCATTTCACAGATGTGGAAATGGGAGGCAAGGGGTGACTTCCGCTCAAAGTCACAGAGATAATAAACAACAGAACCCGGAAGAGAATCCAAGGCAGCTGGACAGGTGGCCGAGGGCTTTTCCCTCTGCTCAGACACAAGGAATGGCCAGAGGCAGTCGCTGGGTGGGAGGGTGATCCCGGGGCTTCTCCTGGTCCCACCTTGAGTACATATTATGTTTAACAAATGCTCATGCAGCACTGGGCCCTGCTCTCAGTACTTTGCAGATACCAATTCCTGGTCTTCACTGCACCCCAGGCTATATTTACCCCAGAATCTCCAGTCCTCCCACCGGCCACCCCCTCCACCCCCACCCTGCAAAACCCGGGTGTGCTCCTTTCCTCCCTCATCCTGCCACCTGCAGAAGTGGAAGGCGGTCCCCTAATGCTCTCAGAGCCCAGACCTTCCCCTCCACCTCACCATCTAGGAGTGTTCTGCTCAGGGTTAATGCAACTTCACCCGGGTCTAAACAGCTATAAAATCTGCAGAAATGAAGTGCTCATAGTAGTTTACCAGGTGAACATGAAATGGAGGTGGGGCCAAGGCTGAAGCCAGCTGCTCTGTGTGTGTGTGTGTGTGTGTGTGTGTGTGATGGGAAGGAGGACCCTGGGGCTTCTGGGAAGAGACATAAGACACAGAGCTCTGCTGCAGCTGGGGCTGCTCTCTTTCTGCCTGATCACTGGGGTGCAGGCTGTGGAGGTTTACGGCGGGACGTGGCTTTCTCTTAAATCGGGACTGCGGGCCAGGCCATGGGACATTGGGGAAATCGTGTCTCCTCTCTGGGCATTACGGTTCCCATTTGTACAGTAGGAATTAGATGGGTTAAGTTCCTTCCTACCAGGACAATCCTGCTGTTTGTGAACCCGGAGTAAGAGCCATGCTTGTCCCAACCAGTGACACATTGAGGCTTGAGGAGGGATCCCTGAGCAGGACACAGAAGGAGCTCCGGGTACAGACACTGCTTCATTGCTGTGGCCCTATCCATACAACTCACTACTAGGGACCAGTAACCCTTCGAGAGGCACTCAGCCCACCAGCCCCGGGGTTTCTGTGAGAGGAGCTGCATTGCCCTGGCACTGACCGAGGGGAGGAGCCAGCAGGTGTC